CTCTTAAAAAGCAATACTGAAGTCTCCCTTCAGAAAACTGTCTCTCACATGGTGCCAATAGGAAACATATTTTCTCCAGGATCGACAGTGAGTATTGTATAGTTAGAACCCCTGTCTTAAGAAATGGCTGTCCTCTCCTGAAATCTAGATTCTTAAAAGATAGAAATTGGATTAAGAAATAGTGTAGGGAGATGAGGAAGAAAGGGAGTGCATTGTATATACTCTGCTCTCAATACATAAAACAAGATGACAAATATGGTGGTAACGTCTCATGTGTGCCATGACTTTGAAAATTCTAGTTATCCCAGGACAGCAATGGGAGGTTAACGAGTTCTAGGCAAAATAAAAGCTGGAACAAACTTGAATGCCTCCTGAGGAGCTATTATCACTAGAAATAAACTTAGTCTGAATCCACTCTTTCAAAATACAGTTCTGGGGACACCTCACGCTTAAACCTTTTTTTTTTCTTTCTTTCTTTCTTTTTTTTTTTTAAAGAAAGTTGGCATCAGACAACTCTCCCAAACACTTAATCCAAATCACCACACTTCTAGCAATGTATCAAACAAGAACAAGAGGTACTTGAATCCATTATACAACCTTCTACTCTGAGTGTGTTGACTTGTAAACATAATTTTCTGGTTGCTTAAAAAGGAACTACCTTCTAGCAAATGACCCAAATTAAATTATGTAGCCAAGAGCAGCTTTATAGCTACCCTCTTGTTCTCTTGGCTTGGTTCTGATAACATAACAGACAGACAGTAAGTTTTTGCTATTGGGATGGGGGAGAGAGAACACACCCTGAAGTCAAAGTTAGTAAAAATCAGTGATACCTTGACATGTGTTTCTCACTGTAAAGTAAGTTTCAAGAAGGGTTGGCTTAGATGCTGTGAAAGGTTAGTAATGTGTGTTTTTTTTTCTGATACTTTTTACCAAAAAAGTAATAAAAATATCAAATATTCCAGGTACCAAAGTATAACTTGACATAACAAAGACAACACTTAAGTTCAATCACTTAAGTTGTGCTGCTTTGTATTTAAGTTCTTGTGCCAAACAAACAGACCAACATGGAATTTTTCTGATAATAGTCTGCTAACTACTCTACATGATAGCTTATCTGTGAGCCAAGCAGTGAAGAATTTAAGACAAATAGCAGAAAGGCTTTGGTACAGAAAAATATACATTGAACTAAAGGTTCATAAAAGTTTATAACGATTAATTGTTTCAACAGCATTTTAATTAAGTCCACACCTCCAAATAAAATAAAGTAAAGATAAGATTTTAGTTTTCCCCTTTAAACTTTTTAAACTTACAGATTGCAGTGCAGCAAATAAAACATGATGACTGCTAAAGTGGGGGTGTTTGAGAGTCAGTGATTCAGATTAGAATTACATGAAAACTGATGTTGAAGGACTATTGAATGGATTATGTTAAATGATTTGGTGGCTCTCTTTATCAATAGTAAATGCCAAAATCCAACACAATCCACAGATGTCATTACTTTTCACCTTTGTGTGCAGTATTGGCAAAGAGGCAAAAGAATGAATGGGCGGGGGAGCCTTAACTACCCTCTCATACCTAGAGGACTTCTCCCTAAAGAAGAGGATTGAGACACTTTGGCTGGGGTGAGGAAAATTACATTGACCCTGCTTGTGTTACATGCAGTGTCGTAGTAGCTGTGTTGGGCCCAGGATAGTAAGTATTAAGTGTTCTGAGCCACTAGCCCTGCATGCCATTTAATACCTTCAACACCAACTGACTTCACCAGGAGTTAAAGGTGCTAAACATTTTGTAATGGTGGTCAGGATTGGTTCCTTTTTACTACTTCAACTGCAGTGACACTTAAAGTTTCTAATCAAGAACAGGGTCCCATTATGCTACTCACAGCAGAGTATGCCTGCCCCTGTCCTGCAGAACTTAATTTCAACATAGAAAAGTGCATAGAGAAAGGGCATATAACATACAAGCTGAGTGAACAATGTGGTGGTCTGCAAACATGTTGCTTCATTTATTTTTAACAATTTGGGAAGTGATTACACTTGGATAAAAAGAAGAAAGGACACGGTGTGTGTATGGGGAGGGGTGATGGAGAAAGGAGGGGAAATGGAGAGCACTGAAAAGGTGTGGGGTGGGGTGAAAAGACATAGAGGGAGAAGAAATTGGAATAAAAAGCCAGTCAGTGAAGGAGATATGTCTAGAGTAAACACTGTAGCTAGAAGTTGAATACGATCTTCAGTGTCTGGAGGAAACAGCTGCAGCTGATTCTCAAGTCAGCAGGAGCATAGAGGCTCTTCCAAGGCTGAACTCCTCCTGGGACTCACTTGATCTGGGGGAGGTGGAATGGGGCCTGGTGCTCCAGAACAAGGGTGCTCTCCTGCACAGTTCTAAGTCAGGACACTGGTTGGGACAGAGGTGCTGACTTTCCAAAGTGCCGGGGGGTGCTCGACCCAGGACTCAAACACCCACCAAAAAAAAATAGGAAGTGCTCAGCCCCCACAAGCCACCAGTAGGTGGCAAGACCATGTACATGGCACACAGTGCAACTGTCAGGCGGAAAGCACCCACCAGCAAAAACAAAATTCAGCACCTGTGTATAAGAGTCTATTTGGTGTTTAAACTTCATGAAAACTAATGGGATGTTACCTGCATTGTTTTCACTTATCTGTATCCTGTTATAATGTAGTAACAAACATTTTACATGGTGTGTACCCCTGTAACTAAATAATCCACCAAACGAGGAAGAAACCTTGTGGAATGCAAATGGAGAACTTTAACAGAAAAGTGCTAATTTCAAAGCAAGTGGTCATTGTGTGTGATGATCGGAGGTCAAAGACTCAAAATGCATTCCTCAGTGTCCGTCATCAAAGGAAAAGCCCACGTGGGTAGTGACAATCTTGTTTTCTGTGACTAGAAGCTATAAGTATGGATTCAAGGAAAGATCTGACATCTCTGGACTGCTTGGACTCTTACAGGGAGGGGGGGAGGGGTGCAGGCTCTGAGAGGAAGTTTGGGTGCAGGCTTTAGGCTGGGGCAGGGGATTGGGATGTGGGGGGGGAGAGCAGTGCTGGCTCTGGGAGGAAGTTTGGGTGCGGGGTGCAGGCTCTTTGCTGGGGGAGAGGGTTGGGGTGTGGGAGGGGGCAGGGAAGCGGCACTTACCTTGGGTGGTGTGGCTCCCAAAGTGACCAGCACACATACCCCTCCAGCAGCGGCTCCTAGGTTGGGGGAGCAAGGGGGTCTCCACGCACCACTGCCTGCAGGTGCCCCCCCCCCGCAGCTCCCATTGGCCACAGTTCCCGGCCAATGGGAGCTGCAGAGCCGGTGCTCGGGACGGGGGCAGCATGCGGAGACACCCCCCCCAGGGGCCGCAGGGACACTGCCAGCAGCTTCTGGGAGCAAAGCGGTGTGGAGGGAGGGAGCAGAGCGGGCAGAGAGCCGCCTTAGCCCTGCTGCTGGCACGTCTCTGCATGCCTCTTGGAGAGAGGGAGGCAGCAGGTCTCCGTGTGCTGCCTGGGGCAGGGGCAGCACGTGGAACCACCTCCCCGACCCCGCCAGGGGCATGCAGAGACGTGCCAGCAGCCGTCCGCTTCCAGGAGTGGCATGGGGCCACCAGCCATGGCATGCAGGCAGCCTGCGTGCCTGAGCCCTGCTGCGCCGCCGGCGGGGGGTAGGTTGTCAGGTATTTGTCCTCCATTTTGGGGGCCCCCCTGTCATTGGGGGGCCCCATGCTACCGCACAGTTTGTTTCATGGTAAATCCATTCCTGGATTGGATATTTAAATCTGAAACTAACTTCTCACCACTTACGCTGATTGGTTGCTTTCTGCAATTCATTCATCTGGGCAATGACAACAGCCAAACTAGTTTTCTTCACTTGGTAGTATATTGTGCACTAACCAACACTTCACAAGAAAATCTGTAACTATTATTGGACCTAAAGGATTAAAATAGTGCTCTTTGTCTTGGATTTTGTAAGCGCAGGACTTGATAAAAACAAAGCTTAAACTAAGTTTGACCTAACTGTCCTTTTATGAAGGAAATTGTGCATAGCATTAAGGCTCTCTTAGTGTCCCATATTATGAGAACAAATGGTCTAATGAGTAGCTGGTAAATTCTGAATATGTAAAACCGGAAACATAAAAAAAGTCCACCTGTGGAACATGTTGCCGGAGTGAAGAGTCAAACACAAAGATTGGAAATAATAATAGGAAGATAGTGTTAGGATCAACAATATATGAAGGTACATATGCCAATGTAAAGGTACATCTTCTGGACGTAAGTGGATCACAACATGTCAACATGTCATCAAAAGGAAAACTTTTCCTCACTTTTACAATTCAAACCTTGCTAGCATCACGTCCATCACGTGGATATTGGTCTTCCTTGGAAGTATTAGTTATTGGTGTGCCCTTTCAAGATGGATGCTTGATTGTGGGTAACAGGATGAACTTAAAATAGTACTCAAAATTGGAGTAGTGTTCAACATTTACACGCTTGACATGTAGCCCCTAGGTGGGGAGCAAAGTAGAGGGAGAGGAGTAAATAGGAGTACTACCATGAACAATGACAGGTGCTTTCAATTTAAACATGGGTCCCTGACCAAAAGAACTGAAACTAAGTATTGCAGTATTAATAAGCAGCAGGTTTATAAAAACAAAAGGAAGTATTTTTTCACACAACACACAGAAAACCTGTGGAACTCTTTGCCAGAGGAGGTTGTGAAGGTCAAGACTATAACAGGGTTAAAAAAAGAACTAGATAAATCCATGGAGGATAGGTCCATCAGTGGCTATTAGATAGGATGGGCTGGGCTGGTGTCCCTCGCCTATGTTTGCCAGAAGCTGGGAATGGGCGACAAGGGATGGATCACTTGATAATTACCTGTTCTGTTCATTCCCTCTGAAACACCTGGTATTGGCCACTGTTGGAAGACAGAATACTGGGCTAGATGGACCTTTGGTCCAACCCAGTATGGCTGTTCTTATGTCAAAACAACCATCAGTTTAACTATTCTGGTTTTGATAACAACATTTCTACAAGTCAAACAGAAGCTTCTCAGAAGAAGTGCCAGGAACTGGCTCATGGTGGGAGAAGTGACTCAGTTCAGCTTCTGTAAAAAAATAAAATAAAATAAAATTATAAAAAGGTACAGGATATTTCTGTTTATCTCAATTGCTAATCATGCCCACTCAAAAACTTGAAAGCTCCTATCTTTAATTTAGTCTTCCGCTTGTATGTTGACTTGTTCATCACTGAAAGTATACGATAAGGACAGGCCATATTATGAAACTCCTCATTGTGCCAAAAAAACCCACACCCTACAAGCTAATCTCAAGGGCGAGATAACTGTCTGGTGTAAACTGGCAGTGTTCCTACAGTGGAATAAAATTGGCCCAAGTGTGTTGGAGGAGCTCTGGGAAAACAGCTCACTAGTTTAGTACTACTGCAAAGCTAACAGCCTATTTTACAGGGCTTAGGCAAATTCTGACTAAACAATGGAGTGGTCTCCAAATTGATTAGTAATTACGGTATGTTCTCCAGGTAAAGATCAACTGTGGGCATAAATATATCAATCCTCTGATTCTCAAAACTACATAAATGTTTAACCTCACATGAAAGCACTTAATTATAAAATGCCAACCTTAAGTACATCTGTTGCCTACCATTAAATACACAAAAATGACATATTACATAAACATTGTAATGACCAGGGTAGTATAAACAAACCAGTCACTTGATTCTGGGACTTCTCAACTGTATAATAAATTATACAATGCAACAGTTACAAGAGATTGTGATGGGTTGCCCACCTTAGGACGCCACCTGACTTGCTGAGATACCACTTAGCCTGCCTGTTCTGCCAGTTTGGGCACCCTTTTTACCTGTCTTGCTGAGCCAGGCTATTAAGCCTCCTCCAGCACACACACAGGCAGGGCCACACCCAACTGCAGAACGTCACAGACACTGAGATCAGCTCTGGGAAGACTCAGCTTAAGGGACTTGTCCCAGCACTCAGGTGTCCACCTCCCATGGAGTGCAGACCCAAAGGTATATTATGAAATTCACCTCCTCCCTCAATGTGGAGGAAGGTGTGCACAGCCTCTTACCCCCTGCCCCCAATTATGAATTGCACAAACTGGGTTATATTATAAACAAGAAATAGGGTTATTAACTACAAAAGGTGAATTTTAAGTGAATATAGGAGAGAACACACAAAACAAAGCAGATTACTGAGCCCATAAAACAAAATACGCAAGCTACACTCAATATACCTAAGAAACAGGTTACAAAATGTAATTTCTTACCCTAAATGTTATTTTAGGCAGGTTGCAAAGTTTCTGTAGCTTAGAGTTCCAGTTATATTTCTTTTCAGACTGGACCCCGTCTCAGTCTGGACTCCCCCCTGGCCTTCCCTTCAGGTGTCTTTAGCAGTCTTTCTTCTTGGGCAGACAGGCCATGGAGAGGAGGAGTCCCGTTTGCCTTCCTTCCCACCCTTAAATAAGGTTTACATAAGGCGGGAATACTTTGTTTCCCAAACTTGATCCCTCTCCCCTTTTGGTGGAAAGTTATAAGAAGTCCAAAATAATGTTTAGTATCAGGTGACAAGACCATCTGACCTAGTAGTGTCACAGTTATGTCCCAGGACGCCTCCCAGGAGGGAGAGAGATTAGTATCTTCACAGTCTTGTTGTTCCTTCCTGATGGCCCATCAAATCTGATGGCCTGTCATCTGGTGGGTGTCTTCCCAATACACACCCAGTTGTAATTGTTACTGTGACCGGGATCCTAGTAGGGAGCCAGCTGTGGTCACTCAATTAGGGTGAACTGCAAAGAATGGGGCAGATAATCCCCAAAGCTGGTGGATATTTTCAATACTTAGATTTACCAAGCCAGCATAAAACAGCTTCTTTATTACCTTACTGGTTACTCAGAAGTCCAAACAACACAGTTCCCTTAAAGTGATCCAGCCTCAGGCCTCCATCCACGTACCCACGTCAAATATAATGAACATTTCTGTAAATCTTATTTCATCACATAAAAGAAAAGATTCTACCAATCCCAAAGGATCGGACACATTACCTCCCAGGTTAATTAATGTTTCAGATCTTACCCAAATACACGCTACAGCCAATTCTTATTGACTAAACTAAAATTTATTAAAAAACAAAAGAGAGAGAGTATGGTTATAAGATCAATATACATACAGACATGAGTTCAATTCATTTAGGTGCAGATTCATAGCAGAGATGGTGAGCTTTGTAGTTGCAAAGAATTCTTTCAGAAATAGTTCATAGGTTATAGTCCAATGTCCAAATATCATATTCAGGGCGTACCAGCATAACTGGGACCTCAGTCTTGCGACTCAAACTTCCCCCGATGAAGCCTCAGCAGATCTGAGATGACAGAATCAGGACCCAAGGATCTTTTATACAATTTCATGTCCTCTTTTGTAAGGTGTTTTATGTCATTTGGTGTAAAAGAGCGGGAAGACCACTGGGTCCAGGTCACGTGGTATGGCTGAGAGAGAGACTATATAAGGGGAGAAAACACCTTAAGTGGTGCTGTCCTTCTGAGCGGCAACCCATGAGATGCGCGCTTTGAGAGGCAACGTACCATCAAAAGAGCTTACCTGATCTCCATCCAAGATCCTCCATAGCCATGGTTCATCCAGATTCCACGTTTCTCTTGCCAACCATTATCTAGGTACTAGGCAGTCTGGGATCCGACATTGCAGTCATGCAGCCTGTCTGTGTCCGGAGGTCCATCTGCAAGTATAGTAACACCGTTGTTAGTCACCCATATTTGTAAGAGGTAATTGGGTCCGGGCTCAATGCCCACAGTTCCAAGTTCAACCACTGAGTTATTTGTTGTACTATCTTTTGTTTAATAAATTTTTCTTCAGTTTCACTTCCCCAGGGATCAGTCATCCTTCCAGTGATTCGGAGGTTGGAGGGTCTTACAGGTGATAGATACTGAGTTGGGTCAAGCCATTACCATATGTGGCATACCTTTAATGTTGCAACTTCTAGCCAATCAACAATTTGTGGCAACCGCGGCAGGACCCAATGTTAAGATCAATACGCCATAGCCACGAGTCTACTGCTCGGATCTCTACCTGTCTCTGGCTTATTTCTATTTTATTTATTTTCGTTAACTCATGTGGTTTGAACTGAGGTCCCTTGCGACTTGTGGGAGATGAACATCACTCCCATCCTGTATGTATTTTAGTGTGAGTGGTGGCTGACGTTAGATAACGGGGTCGTGTCCTAGGTCTCGGTTTCCCCCACTGGGAGGCCAGGACTAGTGGCAGCCCAGCAAGGCTGCATCCCTGAGCAGTTGAGTGTTCCCTTTCCCCTTTCCGTAAGCCAGTGGACGGGAGAGGGAGAACTAAAGGATCTGAACCTGTGGTCCCATTTTAAAATCTCTGCTCGACGACCAGAGGCAGTCAGTCTTGGGCGGAGAGTGGCAGGGTATGGCCTGATCTGGTGGGACTCTGTTTGGGATCCGCTGGATACAACGAGCCGTGTGGCCGTTGGAATACACGTCCCTGACTGGGTAGAAGGTTAGTGAGAATGCTTCTGTGTCCGAGGAGAGGACACCTCGGAGGCAGCGACAGCAGTCGGCCTGACACCGGTTGGTGGACTCGGGCAGCTCAGAAGTAGGGTGCTGTCTGAGGAGGGGAAACATTGGTTTCCTTGGGTGGGATCTGCAAAATCGCAATCCCCCTGTGTGAGTGGTGTGAGATTGTGGGCGTTAGCCCTTGGGGGAGCAGGACTCTCTTGCGGGACCCTCACTCAGGGTGCACAAATCTGTGGGTGTGGGATTAGTAAATCCCCCCCCCCGAGGGTGTGTGGGTCTGCTCTTCTGAGTAAAAGGGGATTGTCTTCTCTCTTGATACCACTATACATATAGAGTTACCTTGGCTCCCCTTTGAGGTAACATATGGACTCTCTTATTGTAAATAAGAACTAACACTGGTATTGTAAAGTGAACAATACGATGGCTGAGAGATGGGATACACCTGTAGGGGTTTATGAATATAATTATGAGTTGCTAGAATCCATTTATAATTAAACTGACGATTATGATGAAGATGTGGTGTATAATCCCAAGGGCAGAAGTATACTGACGAATGAAGCTTTGTTGAGCTTGGTCTTGAAAGGGATTATATCTGTATATGCCTATGTGGATATGGGCTATTGTTATCTTGTATGGGCAGAAGAAAGGGGTAACACTTCATTAATGGCCTTCACAGCAGATGACGAACGGAAGCATGAGCTTTAGATAAGGATGCACAAATTAAATCTATAAGGAAATGAGGGGGCAATTGTTCATGGCTCTTTGATGATACTTTCCTAGAGAGGTACTCTAGGTCGACTGAGGTTTGGGAGCTGTCCAAGTGTCTGTCCTTCATAAGTGACCTCCCTCTACAGGTAAAACCTGGGGATTTAAGTGTAATGATTTCAATAGGCATCCATAATGTTAATCAAACCTTTATAAATACCCATTTGTATTTGCCATCAGGTCATTATCTAGCAACTCTGAAATGCAGCCGTTGTATAGAACCACGTGTTGTTAGTAATTATAATGCCAGTATCATGAATGGGTTTTGTAAACAGTTTCCCTGTTGTATGTATTGGGAATGCTCGTGTTACAGTGTTATCAAATGACACAGGTGACTAGGTTATCACAAGTCTGTATGGAACTAAGGTCAATGTAAAGGTATCTGTGGTACCTAGACCATATACAAGTTCCGTTGGACCGGTGGTGGTCAAACAGAATGTTACAAAAGTACTGATGATAAATCCAGTATATTCCATCAAAAGATTAATAATGCCTGTACAAATTTCCATACACAATGTTAACCAAGGATGTTTTGCATACACTTCACCTCTAATTGAGGGATGGAGTGCTTGGTTGCAAGGAGTGGTTCCATCATTCAACTCTCTCATAAGGAAATCTAGGGATATCTTAGCTAAAATATTAGGAGGTGTCGGAACTGGACTAAGCGTGTTAAATACTATAGACGATCAGATCCTAACTGATAAATAGGAGCTTTGGGCTATGATATAGCCTCTTTATCAAACACTCTTACTACCTCATTAAATAGGAGTAGTGAGCTTGAGTATCATATAGCCAATACCTTACCTTCCTGGATGCAAATTCAGAAGACAGATCACGTCAACATCATAGGGGCATAAACATTCTTCAGTCTAACATCCACCTCACTTTAGCATGTGTGCAAGCACAGCAATCGATCCTAGATGTGGCTAAATCCATTGTGAGGGATAGCCTGAATGGGCTTAATCCAGTAGAGATGAGGCATGTTTTGTGGAACCATCTCACTCCCTTTGAGCAAGAACACCAGGGATGGTGAAAGTTAATTAACTTCACTTACCTACACCACAACCATTCAATAATTGCTTATGTGCTGACCTTAAAAGTAGCAAACAAGGAATGGGTTTACCCTTTAGTGCCCATAGGCTTAAATGTGGGACAAGCTGTATTTATTCCTATGGCTCTCAACAAATGGGTCCATCGGAAGGGTGAGGAATACCACACTGTGAACCTCCAGTTTTGCCTAGAAGAAAAGGGTCTAGGCTACACTTGTAACACTGAAGTTTTGGAAGGATCCCATGTATGTTTAAATGCCCAAAAAGGAATGTGTCATTATAAAATGCACTCTTCAGATTTTAATCACTCCTCCATCATGCTCACGAATGACCATAGTTTATGTCTAAGCAGTTGGTGCAGTGAGTTAACTGTAAATAGTTATTATAGAATTACACACGACCCCTCCATCAACCTTTGTCTGGGCTCCATCTTTTACATTAAGGGTTGTGATCTAGACTTTGTCTGACATGACATCACCACCGAGACTATATATGTACAGTATACTTTATACGACAACTTAGATCCAGTCCACCTTGGAGCAAATATAGCAGCCCTAAACCAACTTATGTTCCACCAAGAAATGAAAGCCCACTTAAAGCAAATTGAGAAGGAAGGGAAAGAGGTATTGCTGACCGTGCATCATGCCTCTAATCAGATTAAGCGGGTGTTAAAGCGAAACAAAGATGAGACCGCTTCTAGTCAGTGGTGGGAGAATCTATTTGGGGGACTGGAAAATTTTAATGATGTATGGAATATTATGTTACATCCTATTATTGTGGTCCTAATCATCCAATTTGTAATCATTGTGTACTTGATCTGCCTCACTGTGTGGATCAAAAGAAAAACAGCTGCGAGTTATAGCTTCTGTGCCTGTATCATCTTTTAAGTTAAATAATGTCTATGGAATGTGATGGTTAAAGTTCTATGTATATCCATTTACCATCAAGGGGAGGAAATGTAAGGTGTTTTATGTCATTTGGTGCAAAAGAGCGGGAAGACCAGTGGGTCTAAGTCACGTGGTATGGCTGAGAGAGAGAGAGACTATATAAGGGGAGAACACACCTGAAGTGGTGCTGTCCTTCTGAGCGGCAGCCTGTGAGATTCGCACTTCGAGAGGCAATGTACCATCAAAAGAGTTTATCTGATCTCCATCCAAGGTGCTCCGTAGCCGTGGTTCATTCAGATTCAGTGTTCCTCTTGCCAACCATTATCTAAGTAGTAGGCAATCCAGGAAACAATGTTTCAGTCACACAGCCTGTCCGTGTCCGGAGGTCCATCTGCAAGTATAGTAATGTAGGGGGAGAATTTCTGTATTTCTGTTCTGGTTATTAATACCCACATGCCATCTTGAATTCCTGATAACAACAACTAGGAATCCATCTTGGCTGCCTTTCTTCACCCTCCTTAGGTACAGTTTCCCGCCCTTTCTAATGAAAGGTGGGAAACATAGCAACCATGTGACATGTGATCTGCCCAGTAGCAGCAGGGCATATAAGGGTTAGCATGTCTGAGGGAAAGGGCTGCCCATCTGAGTGGCAGAGTGCTGGATCACAGCAGTGTGTTCTACTCAGGTGTGTAAGCCAGGGCACCATTCCTTAGGGTTGTGGGAGGGTTTAACACACTTGCACGCAAGGATGAGCTGCTAGCTGCCACCCTCTCCTCTGGATCTTACTTGACCCATGACAACACAGGGGAGGAGAAAGAAGAATCACCAGCATCAATCAGAGTTATCACCTACCTGTTGCCTGAGGTCCACTTCTCACCCTGCTGAGTCACCTGGTCGGTTCTGGACCTGATCTGCGTCATGAGGTCAGGAGGCTCCAGACACAAGCTGCAAGATATGATAGAGACCTTTTAAGTCCTCCATACCCCTTAGCTGGGACCCGTCTTGGAAAGGGAATAAACCCTTTTTGGTCACAGTCAGTACAGTTATAGTGTAACCTTTATCTATTTACCTTACTTACCTGTGTTGGGAGTCCTTTATAGCATACCCCGTTTACTTATCTTGCTTTCTAATAAACATACCTGAACTTTACTCCTGCACTCCCTTGTTGGTTTTTATTTTGGGAGATCGTAAACCCCGATGAAAGATGCGAGTAGGGAGACGAATCTCTCAACTGGTCTCCGGCCATCCTAAAACCAGTCAATAGTAACACCGTTGTTAGTCACACATATTTGTAAGGTGTAATTGGGTCCGAGCTCAATGCCCACAGTTCCAAGTTCATCCACTGAGTTATTTGTTGCACTATCTTTCATTTAAAAAATCTTTCTTCAGTTTCATTTCCCCAGGGATCAGTCATCCTTCCAGTGATTCGGAGGTTGGAGGGTCTTACAGGTGATAGATACTGAGTTGGGTAGAGCCATTACCATATGTGGCATACCTTTAACATTGCAACTTCTAGCCAAGCAACACTTTGACAAGTTGGGATTTCCTCGGGGAAGAAAAGGTAATTAGGATGACTTTGAAGGAGGTCCATCATCGGTACTTAGCTATATGAATTAACATAAGGCCATTTGCTTGTTCCACCACCATTCACAGTACATTTCAAAGAGAGATGAATACCAAGATATCCTGAGTTTACAATTCATTTAAATGTTAGGATGTTCTTTTGATCTCTGAAGTATCAGATTACAGCACAGACAGGGACTGTTGATTACATCGTTCACCCTACTCATACATATGTACATACACAAACATTATCTTCCCACATGTCTTTTGAGGGTTATTTATTTTGCAGGATGTTTAACCCTTTCTGAGCATGCATCACAGCTACATAGTCCATATTCCTAACTTTAGATACAGAAATGATAGAGGCATACAAACTGGATAATCACATTCAGTAAATCATAACCTTTCTAATGATATCCGCCGTGAGCCATCTTGCATAAAGTACATCTCAGTTATGTCATATCCATATCATAAGCATATTTCCATAAAGAATATGGAGTGTAACGTCACAGAGATATTCAGTTTAAGTGATTAAGGGCCTAGGCTTTTGGAGCAGGAAAATCCTAGTTGTCTTTGCTACCATAAGCTTGCAGTTGGCTTTGATAGAAAAACAACCATGAAGACCTACATTTCATGCATTATTAAACTGATCTGCTTGTATTATGGGGGGAATGCAACTTCTCTCACATTTCACATATATTTGTTCCCCTTTGTCAACCATACCTTTCAATTCCCACTAGTTTTGAATTTTTTTCATAAATCTTCAGTGGCCTTCAGGCAGTCCAGTGCACTTCTTGGTCAGGCTGCATGCCAACTGAAGCTTGTCTCACTTAGCTTGACCAGACATAGAGCATGCTGAGTTTACTCCCAAACAGGGGCATGCCCAAGGGGGAGCAAGCAGGGGCATGGCCCCCCCAATAATCACAGGGGGAACAGAACTTCTCTGGCCCTGGGGCCGCGGAGGCAGGAAAGAGCGAGCTCCTGCTGGAGCGGGGGGAAGAGTGAGCTCCTCCCGGGCCCAGGGTAGGGGTGGGGGGGGAAGGGTAGAATGAGTTCCTGCTGGGGTAAAGGGGGATGGGGAAGAGTGAGTTCCTGTTGGGGTGGGGGAGGGGAAGGGAAGAGCAAGCTCTTGCCAGGGCCAGAGTAGTGGGGGGCAACGAGCTCCTCCTGGGGCTGGGTGGGGAGGGGGGGAAAGCGAGCTCATGGGGGGTAGGGTGATCAGATAGCAACTGTGAAAAAACGGGATGGGGGTGGAGGGTAATAGGCGCTTATATAAGAGAAAGTCCCAAAAAATGGATGTGGAGGTGAGGGGGAATAAACAAGAGGAACCAGAATATAGGAAGAAGGGAAGGGGCATGATAACCTTGCAATGCTGTTCAGAGACTCTTGAATGTCATGGGGATCTTGTAGACAAGTGAAATTAATGTCTCCCACCACCTCTTAACATGTATGCAGTAATACTCCTAGTTTAGTATCTTACTGATGAGCAGACCAGAGTCAAGATAAGCCTTGTAATATAAACAGAACTATGTACAGAAATGAGGTAAAAAAATCAACCTTCCTACTGCTCTCTGTAGCAGCAGCCTGAGACTACCCTATGCCAGGCTGCTTGGCGTCTACCTCAGTGGGAAGTGTGTCCCAGGAACTCTAAGACTGCATTAAGAGTGTACAGCATGTTACTCCTGGGGCAATTCTGTGCCAAAAAAAGGAAAAATTCTGTGCACAATATTTTAAAATTCTGCAAAATTCTGCAGGTCAAAATAACACTATTTCAGCATTTCTCAGATGTGGCCACCAGGGGCTTTTTTTGCAGCCATAGCCTCCTGGGTTGTGATTTGAGGAGGTGGGGGGCAGTGGCTTGTGCAGCCAGTAAGTTCCCCACCTTCCCAGGGCGGTGGGGCTCAGGATTTGGGCTTCAGGCTGGGGGTGGCAGGAAGGCAGGCTCTGGCCGCGAGGGCTTCAGGCTTCAGCCCCCCACTGCTTCCCCTGCCACCCCACCCCCCCCGATCTTCCCTGGCCCCTGCTGAGTCCCCTGATCCCCCATCCAGGGCTTAATTCGTCCCCAGACTTCCTAGGGCTAAGTATGCTGTGAAAAGTGATACGTGTATGTTTGTTAATATCACTTTTCACAGCAGACTTACTAGCTAGCACTAAATAAGTTACAATGATTTGGACGTGTATATGTGCATATTTATTTGTTTTTCCTAAAGCTAATTAAGTATTTTAGGAAAAAGTGTGAGAGCAGCCACCAGGAAGAGTTGGCGGCTGCACTCTGAGGCCACCAAATAATTTGTCCTGAGAACCCCTGACACTATATAATCATGCCGATTTCAATTATTTCGATAATTTATTTCAAAATACCTGTCAGCAAATATGTCTATAACAATACAGACACACACAAAAATTCCCCCAGGAGTAGAGAGTTAAAGAAACCCCTATGACAACCCAGTTCCTGCTTCTCTGCCCCTTCTCCCGCTGCCAGAGCCCAGCTGGGGATCCAGACTCTCGCACCCTCCCCCACCCCCGAGCCCAGCCATTGGCCCTCTGCAGCCCAGACATTCACACTCCCTCCCCCCCAGAGGCCAGCTGTGGGGCCTCCCCTGGTCCAGACACTGAGATCCCCTACCTCCCATCTGCAGCCCCCACTGGCCCAGACACTACCCTCCTAGAGCCCAGGGATCCAGAGGGAGAAACAGACGGATGTGGGTCATGAGCTTGCATGGAGTTTCCTGCCTCCTTCCTTCAGGGCGTGCTGGGAACCGCAGCTGCTGGGAACCCTCCAGTTATCTTTCCCTCCCTCCGGCTCTGTCTTCTATTTGCAACCTGGGCTCTGCCAGGTACAGTGGCCCCTATTGCTGGCCAGCAGCACTGCAGCCCATTTCTGTGGGGAAAAAAGGAAAGTCTGTGCACCCAACATTAATTTCTGCAAAATTCTGCATTGCGTGGTGGCGCAGAATTCCCCCAGAAGTAGCATGTGTAGTGTTCATTGGCATATTCAATAAGAGAATATCTTTCAGATTAACCCATCTACTACTGAACTATTGTGAGCCTACATGAAATTCAGTCCTGCTTGTACATATGTGGGATCATGCAATATCTTGTTAGCATCTCACAAACATGTTCTCAGCTTTCTGCAGGGAAGGCCAATACTGTCAAAGAAAAGAAAGGGGGGGGGCAAGGAAGGGTTAATCAGTATCAAGAGATATGGAGAATTTGGCTCCAGAATATCTGGGGAAGCCAAGTGGTGCAGGTGGGGATGTAGTAGGGTGGCCTCATTAACAGTTCCCCTTTTAAAACAGGACAGTAATTACTATCTTGCAAAAGCTAAGGAAGAATTTATTAATAACTGAGTTTGAAATTGCCTTTCTAGTGAAGATTTCTGAAACTGTTACCTTATTAAAAGTAGGAAAATGTACTTGAACATATTCTTTGAGTATGCTAAGATGAGTAAAAATATATTAACTTTTCATAAAGGTGAAGTTGCAGCAGCTCCAGCAATACATGTAGGAATCCTTGGCATTTGTGTGTGTAAGAAATACGGGTCTGCCTCAAATTCAGAGAGCAGCCTCCTGAAAAAAGTGGTGAGGGTCTGGCATGTCTTACAACATCCATCATTAATTCTCTAGTTCTTGTGATTAAAACTTTATTCCTGGTGGGTGTCCAGCCCTGTATTAATTGCTGTGCCCCTGCATCCCAATTACCTGATTTTGGCTTTCATTCAAGGTTCATCTGGGGTCAGATCATCCCCGTTCAGGAGAGATAGTAGCCCCAGTTAGGAGGCAGCTGCTGCTTTGACCTTTGACTATCCCAGAATCCAGTCCAAATGATGCTGTATCTGGGCTCCTTTCCCCTCCAACAGCTATTCTGCCTCTTAGTTTCTCCACTCTTGGAGAGGGGGCTTTTCTTGTACCTCCCTCTGGTTCCTAGTGGAGCTAGCTAGAGTTCATTTCTAAAGCTGGCTGACCAATTGTGATGGGTTCGGTCACATAGACCCCCTTGAGGCTGTCACCTGACATGCTGGAATTATCTCTGAGCCCGTTTTCCACTGCCAGCTTGGGACTCCAGAACCCTGCCTTGTTGAGCCAGACACGCTAGTCTGCTGCAACACATATCCAGGTCTGGTCCACGCCCCCAAAGCTGCAGACTTTAACCAAAAACTGCTCAGCAAGTCACCTATCTCCAGCACCCAGACACCCAGCTCCCAAATAAATCCATTTTACTCTGTATAAAGCTTATACAGGGTAAACTCATAAATTGTCCGCCCTCTATAACATTGATAGAGAGATATGCACAACTGTTTGCTCCCCCAGGTATTAATTACTTACGCTGGGTTAATTAATAAACAAAAGTGATTTTATTAAATATAAAAAGTTG